CAAAGTCTGGACAGTAACTAGAAAATCCCCAATTTTCCAATTAGATGATATTTGAAGCTTAACCTTGGTTAAAAAAAATTGTTTATAAATAGTTTTGTGATTACCCATGTTCTCAATTTTTAGAAAAGATAAAAAGCAAAATTTTGCTAAAAATCTAACATCTGGGGGAAATTGCTACTTTTAGCTGGACGAGAAGCCAAAAAATTAAAAGTTATATAAGAAGGTTATAATAAGTTCAATGAAAGCTTCAACTTTCTGAAATTGGAAGTTGTCAAAAATAAAAGTGACTAGCTAAAAGTTAGCCAAAAATCCCAAAAATGTCTTTAGCCGGCTTTGATTAAAAGGTTGTTTTCAGTCAGCGTCACCTGACTGAAAACAACCAATGACGTTTATTTATAACACTCTAGATAAACTGAAATCTTAACTCCAGGAAAAGTTGCTGGTGTGAATACTGTGAATATTTTTATCCAGACTTTGTGAACATTCATGTGTCAGGCTGAAGCAGTGGCGATGACACCTTCCTGGGGAGGAGACCTTTCTGAGTGTTGACACACTATTTATACATCAGCACGTCACACACAAGTGTTTTCACTGCACCGCGTTGACCCACTTGCCTGTTTCTGTCCCTTTTTGTCCCCGTTTAATAGAGACCCAGAGGCAATAGAAATGAGCGTGAGAGGTAAGGATGAAGGTGAGGTGAGGAAGGATGGGAGGACGGAGGAAGAGGAGGAGCGAGGACGTGACTCTGCACCGGTGGGTTTGACCTTCTATAAATCAAAGTGTCCGCCTGGCTTAAGGTCAGAAAATTCCCCTTGTCTCTTTTCGCTGCGTTGCTCAATTTTTCCATAAATGCCTTTCAGTTGCTCCTGCTGCTGCTGCCTGACACTGTGATGTAGTGCAGTGAGGTCATAGTCTGTGCAGCAGCAGCAGCAGCAGCAGCGATGCTGTGCCACTGCCCTGTCCACTGTCCATCGTGTCTTTGTCTAAAAATCCTCATTTCCTGGAAGCCTGGACTCATTCACCTCCTCTATTTTCTCCTTCCGTCAGATTGATGTATTGATCAGAAGTGCTGCCGATGCCAACTCCTCTCCCTTCCAGCTCTTCCTATGACCCAAATCCCCCCGTGTGATCATTAATTAGCTGATGCAATTGCGCCGTCCCCAGGGAAGACAGGAGATTAAAAACCTCATTATGGTCCACATCAATAAAGTGGGATTAATCAGACACGGCCAATTCAGATCTGTTGCTTTGTTTGGTTTTTTAACTGTGTGCTATTAAAGCCACAGGTGTCAGGTCTCCTCATTCATATTAATGTTTTGGTTGTTTGGTTGTTTTTTTCCCTGAACCTATTTGTCTGCAAATTCATCATTGTGTCTAAAACCTAATCAGACTCTTCGCACACAAAGTAACAGATGACAACATTTTCAACATCCATCAGATCAGTTCACAAAATGCTTCGCTGTCTTGGATTTTCTTTAAAAAAAAAAAAAAAAAAGGAAGGATCGGACAAACAGGAAACTGAGGTTTGTCAAAGCTGTACGAGATGCAGGTGACCCCTGACCTCCACCACTCTAACGGCACCAGCTGCGCAAGTGTTAGCATCCCTTTAGCAGATGCAGTCATGGGACAGAAGGCTGATGGTTGTGGGCAGACACTGACCGACTAGTAGACTGGTCAACTCAATGACAAAGCCTGTCATTGGTTCCATAGTGTAGCAGTTAGCATGGCTGCCTTAAAAGCAGAGAGCAGAGAGTCCTGGGTTCAATTCCCAGAGGAACCACATGTTTGCAGCTACCAGGGGCAGCCTGTTAACAGCAAATCTTCATTACAAAGATGTAATCAGACCAGACCTGTCCTTCGACAACACCTGCGGTAACTGCAGCCCTGCATTTAGCTTTCCTGGCTAATATCTGTTTGTTTCATCATTAGCAACTTTTGGTCTAACTTTAAGCTATTTTTAGGCTACATATTTTTTTGTATCTATTTTTGTAGTTTTCTTTGGGTCAATCTTTGTTGGCTACAAACTTTACAGGCTAATGCATGTTTAACTTTTTAGCCAACTTTTAGCCAACTTCAGCTTCCCTAACAATTTCCGCTCTTTCTCTTGAAGCACTGTTGTTAGCAGCGTCTTGTCAGTAGTAACTAATCAACAATTCTTTGACATCTTTAACTGTCTGGTATTTGTCTAAGGATATCTCAAAACACACTCGCTGGACATTATTCATTTCAGGATACGCAAAAGCTGCCGATATCATTATCTTCAGAACCGGGGGGGGGTGGGGTGGGGGGTTTCTCAAGGGTAACTAGAGATACTTCAAGGGCATTTGGCCAACAAAACATCAAAGTGATTTCCCTCCTTCTAAACACTAACATTTAAGTCCTGCAGTTGATGAGGCTGTAAATCAAAACCCAAACAAGTAAATAACAAATAGAGGTTTATTAGTAACAATTTGTCATTAATAAGAATCTTTATCAAATAATATAAATACAGCCAAGTGTAGAATATCATACAGAAAAGGCTCCTTAGTAGAAATGTATATAAACATATATATTTTTGTTTTTGATAAACAAGGGCAGGAGTGCTTGTCTCTCCATGTGGGTCATTTAAGGCTGTGTAACATTAACTCATGGCCCGGTTCCAGCCATTACATAAGCACTTGATCCATCACTGTGTCCCATTTAGCAAAGTAGAGAAACTTAATTCTGCCAGAACATAAATTCATTGTAGTTACTCTCTGGAAAGAGTCCAGGTCAAAAAAAAAGGAAAGACATGAAAAAAGCGGAAAGAAAAAGGCATCATGTCATTGGTCGACAGCTTCCTAAATACGCAATTTAAACCAAAATAGTTAGGAAAACTTTTTTACTGATGGTGATGTCATTAGAATAAATAAGTGAACCTGTTTGTTGTGTGTTTTATTAAGTACAAATGTTAAACAGAAAAAAATTAAAAACTCTGCAGCACTTTTTGTTGTTAGGAGTTTTGACTTGTCAGTCTGCCAACGATGACAGAGTAACAAGATTATTTCTAAAATATCAAATGTCTCAGTCTTATGTAATAAATAAAAATCTGCCAAATATATTGTTCCTTTTTTTCATATTTTGACTTTCACATAACATCCCTGGCGGTCATCCAGGGCTCTAGAACCTGACTCACGTTTGTAACTTTTGATTTATGTTTTTCTTTTTAGCGCTCCATCTGTTCAAGGTGGCACGGACGTAGCGTCTTTTTGTGCCAGCTTTATAATTATATGAGTGTTATTTAAATTTTTATCCAGTTTTATTGAATTTATTGAATTCATCCCTTTAATTCTTTTTTCATATTTGAGAATCCATTGGATTCATCCATTTAATTTAATTCTTTTTTCATATTTGAGAATCTTTGGAACTGTAAAAATATAAATTTAAGAAACAATTTTTTATGCATTAAATGCCATGAAAAATAAATCATAAACTTTATGGTTAGTTTTAACAGTAATCAGTGCTCAGTTGTGGCTATAACAGAGAGGCTGGAGTGGATATTCTTAACAATACAGTGCAAAAGTCTATGGATGTAATTAGATTTGGAGCGCCACATAGTGGTGACAGTAACTACACAGTTGCTCCTTTTGACATTGATTAGCCAAAGTATCAAATTGTCATTGTCCTCATCATTGGTCAGGGAAGTCAGGATCATGTGATTTATCCCTGAACTCTACAATTTTCAGAGCTGAATTTCAGATAGATGAAAAGGCATATATCTTATAGCTAAAAGTCAAGAAGAAAAACAACTTGGGGGCTCAACTTATTTTCAACAATTAAGGTAAAGTGTCACACCAAAGAAAAAAAGAAAAAAAAAACTGTCCCTGCAGGCAAACGTATCCTAACACTGGGAGAAAGATTATTGCAAAAATCCATCAATTTCTTATTGAAAAAAATCACTACCTGATTGCCACGTACTATCTCAGGTTATATCTATTATGATTTATGTCACCAAGACACAACAAGAAAACCATTAGGAGAGAAGCTGTAATTAGCCTGACTGTATCCACATCTATGAAACTCAACAACACCACAGCGTTGCCAGTGGAAACCTAACCAGCAATCTCCCAATCACAAGCCTCAACCTGTAACGACTAGGCTATGGCACTGCCAAAAGGTGAGTATTAAAAGGTTTACTGTCACAGAGCCACACTGTGGTGACAGCAAATGCTGCATACATACATTTTCACATTGTCTTAAGAGAACAAAAAACCTACAGAATTTCTGAGATGGGAATATTGAGAATATTGTAAAAAAAAAATAGACATGTTGCCATATTACTACACTAGTTAATTTGCACTGCTTTGCATTTGTGACAGGGTAATTTATTTCACAATAAAAAAAGCTCTGGTTTGCATTCTGATTTTAAAAATTTGTAGGTATAAAAACATATTTTTTAATCTAATTTAATCCTAATTTTCAATCTCTCTGCTCTCTGCTTTCCAGTTAAATTGATGTCTGTACACAGTACTGTATACACATACATATAGTATATACATATAAATATATATGTATACATGTATGCACATACACACATATACATACATATTCATATACATATACATCAATATATATACATATATATATATTGTGTGACTAAACAGGTATTCACAACTTATTATGGCCGCAGCTTAATTTCTATGGAATATTGTATGCAGGTCAAAGATTGTATAATTTTTTTTTATTATACAACTATAAATGGGTTCACTTTTAGTTTGGAGTTTCAACTGAATTGAAGTCACCACAGCGTTAAGACAATGATCAAAATGTTCCAGCACATTCCTGGCTGCTGCTCACGGTCCATAAACTGAGCTCAGAGCAGTTTGTTCCCACTGCTGCCTGAGGCTTCGACAGATATGACCCAGGGAAACAGACTGGTTTGTGCTGTGGATGAATTTAGTGGCTATTCTTATAAAACAAGAGATTTCTACAGCTATTTAGTGATTGTTTTTTTCTGCAGAAAAATAAAGACCAATGACCAATGTTTGTTTGAGAAGACTGGAAACTTTTGTTTATTACCTGGTTTCATTGTTTCAGATCCATAATGGTTGGGTTTGTTTTTTTTTTTTTGTTTTTTTTTAAATAATATTTTTTCTTTAAATACTAGAAACACAATGAAATTGCTTTGAGTCACTATAAAATTCCAAGTACAACTTACTTACAAATACATTTTAATCATCTTTGGATTTTGTTTCCTATATGGCATAATATTGAAATATTACAAAATATCTTAAAATGAGACCAAAGAAGCGGCGTCCTAATGTATTGATTGTTAAGTTGTCCAGTATGTTATCCGTCAAAAACAATTACTGACACATGCATACTCACTTAATTAATTAATATTTTTTTACTAAAAACTAGTTTTGTGTTTTTAGTCAATATGTTGTAAAATTAATAGTTTCTAGGGTGTTTTAATATGATTATGATTAACCGTGTGATTATAACTAATGGCTAATTGTTTGTTTAAAAAAAAACAATCTCATTATGTTAAGAAAAGGATTGTACATTTTATGGTTGAAACAATCTGATGAGTCACTGAATTTTTTTTTTAATCACAAATAATTCTCATTCATATCTCTTTCTGTTGTGCTGCTGTTACTCTGCATGGATTAGAAAATGAACTCTGAACAGGATACAGATCAGATAATCTTTCAGATTTGATTCATTTTTAAGATCTATAACAAAAGGGTATCATAATTATTTTTTTCAAATATTTTTAAGCTGTTTATAATACATTAAAGTCACCTCAGGGACCTCAGAATGCTCTAAACCAAAGCCGGGATTCATCAACCAGTCAAAACCAACAAACAATATACGTTTCTCCAACGAATTGGACCAAAACGTCCTGAAGTCTGTCTCTTACATTTGATAAAGAAAGATTCACAGTTGTGTAGCCATAAATACTTTTCACGTCTCAGTTTCTCTCCGTTGAAGTTGTGTGTAAAGCTCTGGTAAGCAAAGACCTGTTGACAATCTCAATATGAGACAAACGTGCTGCTGCTGCTGCATAGGCACAGTATACGTACGCAGCAGCAGCAGAGTAAACTGTGGGTGTTGGTAGATTCTATGAGATTTTTTTCAGGGTTCTTTAGCCGTACATTTCTTGTGTCAGTCTCATGACTAACGAGGCCAGGTTAGAAAGAGCAGAGAGGTAATCAGTTGTTACTCACGGGAAGGAGAAACAGGTTCAGTCTCGCGGGGGAATCTCAAGGCTAATGTGTGGCAGAGAGGCAGGTGACCTCGTCCAGCAGATGTCATTGGACTTGTCTCCACTTAACGGACTGTTTTGGAAAGGACGTCTAGGTTTAACGGCACGTCCATTAATGTGTCATGGAGGCTTACTTGGATGGAGTGACAGAGGGTCTGAGTGGGCGGTGTTGGTGCCTCGCGTCCAGCTCTTCGTCCTGGGTGTGGAAAGCACACACAGAGACATCAGTATCTATCTGATACTCCCATTTTATGATGTATTATTGTAATCGAGAAATACTCATAGTCTTCAACAATCTCAGCAGTTTGTAGGTAACCTAACACTGAGGACAAAGACAGAAGCAGGACATACTGTAGGATTTGTTCTTATATAAAACATCTTTATACGATTACATTATTGTCTCCTCTCAGTTTCTCTTCAATGTAGACAGAAAAGGTACTTGCATCTCAACAAGTCACATTATTGTCCAAACGTATTTCACCACCACAGTGTGTACATTTTGAAATGTTCTATTGGTGTAAAAACTCTGCTTAATTTCTGTTTAGCTGACTGCTTTGAAGTTTTTTCTTTCATTTTAATATTTTTGATTTATTTATTTATTTAGTCTTAGATATACATTTTCTAGTTTTAGGTGTTTTTTTTTTTAAAGAATGATTTGTTTCCTTCAAATACAACTTTACATTCACATTAGAACAACGCCTTTTAGTTCAATGTAAAAAAAAATGAAAAAATGAAAATACATCGGTTTGTAAAAAGAAAAATGATTCTGACAAAACTATTTTTAGGAATAATTTTAGTTTTACACTAGAAAAAAGTAGATAAGACCAACAGTGAGGGCAGAATTTGTATTACTATTATTTTTATTTATAGTGGATTCGTGGATCACATCGATCGTTTGCAAATGCCCTTACCTCAGTTTCAAGATGAGAATCCAAATTTTTAAAGCCAAAACCTTTGTATATATGTAATAATATTATGTCTTGATTCTTTTTTAATTTTTTGCTATATTTTACTGTTTTACAGATTTACTTTGTCAAGAGCACTGCAAAGGATGAATGTAGTAAGTTTAGGTGATTTTGTTCATACTGCCTTTCTGGTGTTTAATTTTATGAACCTAAATTTCTGCCTGTAGGAACAATAACAAAAGAAGAACAGAACCAAGGGAGCACACATCCCATTAGAAAAAAGATAATAAAAAGAAAAGGGTTCACTCAAATACAAGTCAGCTCTGGTTGGCTTTACGTACTCAGTCCATTTAGTCCAGGTCTTTCGACCTTGAGGAAGAAGGAAAATTTTCTTACCATTAAACATTGCAATATATCAAAAATTTCACAAGATCAGATTAAAAAAAACATTGCAATGTTCCGAGGGAACGAAAGGAGAACTGCGATGTAGAGGGGGAACACTGTACTTAAATTTTATAAAGTGCTTCCAGTATTTGTTTTAGTAAAAATCGGAATCCCTTCAGAACATATGCAGTGTCATACATTCATTGATCCCATAGTTCCTTATATAGAGAGAGATATATATTAGTGCTGGGTTTTTATTATGATGATTTTAGTCTATTAAATACAGACAAAATTATGCCATAAAAAATAATATGCTCAATAAACACTTTCTCACTTCCTGGCACATCAGGAAGTCTGATGCACAAACTCCAGCCAAGTAGGTGGCAGTAAAGCACCTAAGTTCAACTGCAAGCCATTAAGATGCACAGGATGCATTGAGGGACATCAGTCACAAGAAATTTTGGTCAAAATTGATGTTGGACACCTCAACACCTGCCTCATTGGGTAAAACCTTTTTTTTTTCAAAAACTTGGATTAGACCATAATTGTGAAAACGGGGTTTTCACACTTCGAGTTTAAAGTATCCCTTCAATGCAAAATGTGTTGCTATAAGCACAAAGCTACAACAGTCCAAGTACAGACAAATGATGTAGCCAGTTCACAAAAGAACAGATCACTGGGTTCAAAAATGTCTTCAAATGTCCGACAAAAGAGCTATAACTGTACTGTGGGTTTGTAATAATCTATAAATGTAGTCAACAGATTCACACCGTGTCGGCGGTCTCCTCTCCTTCCGTGTGTTCTCCTGATCGACTGTACATTTCCATGTCAGACAAGGCACTCTCTACTGCCTCCTCGTCATAGTCGGTTTGGTAGTCAGATTCATCTGGTAAAAGAAAACAGTGAAGAGTTAGTAAACAGATGCAATGAGTCGATTGTAAAGTAAGACTCTAAAACATTTTTTACTTTTCTTTCAGAACCTCCTCTTACACACAAAAACAACACCAACGTGTGTGGAAGGCAACTCTTTGGGATCAATAACTTATAACTTAGAAAGCATGGCAGCAGTGATTAATCCAACAAATATGCAAGACAGTGAAGGCATCATCACCGTTCCTCTGCCTTAAACGTAAGGTCTATTTTTACGGGAGGTTTCAACCACTATTTGCTCTTGTGACTGTTTGTCACAAGAGCAGGTTTACAAAGAGCAGTGGAGAGTTTGATGGAGCCTCAATTCTTTAGACATAAAACATAAGATCTCCTTCAGTTGTTTGTAATAATGGTGATAATGATGCTTTACATCAAACTAAAAGACTATTGACATTAATCAAACTATATATTGTAGGTAAACAAATTAAAGAAATACATTTAAGGAAATAAACTCACTAGAATGTCCTCTAGGATTGGCTCCAGCCCCCCCCCTGCAACCTTTAACAGACTAAATCAGTAGAAAATAAACAGGTGACTGTTTCCTTTGATTGCAAATGATTAATCTAAATTGCTAAATCTACACAGGTTCCACTTTCCATCAGCTCATTATTACAACCTGTCTATGTTCACCGTGTGCACCTGATCAACAGTGTGACAGCTCTGCATCGACTGCTACGTGAAAGACATTAATGTCCTTAATAGAGTGTGACGGGAAAACACAAAAGCAAATGGAAGGAAGGCACAAAGACATGAAGACAAACAGGAACGGTGTACGTCCCTCAGATGGTTTGTTTGTGTTTGTGTGTGTGAATATTTCAGAGATATTCACACTCAGTGTCATGACGGTATGGGGGTAGGTCTAGGTGAGGATGTTGGAGTGTGTGTGTGTGTGTGTTGGTAGTTTTACCGTCCACCACTGCAGATTTAACAGGCTCAATGCGGGACACGATTTCTGCCAGGTCAGTGAAGGAGGCGTTGGGACAGGTCACCACCTATATATAAATATATATATAAATAGATTTTTTTACACACACAAATATATAAATACATATATACCCATGGTAAACCACAAACAGACTCTGATTAGTTTCAGCTAATTAATCTGTGGCATCGCAGCCAAAATAAGGCAGCTGCCTGCTGTCACCACCTCATTTGTTAGTAACGGCAAGTGGCGCAGAGAGCACAGACTGGCAGCTTTAACAGCAGTCTCAAGGAGGACAGAGAGCTGATTAGATTTTTTTTTTTTTGGTTTTTGCTGCATTATTGAAACTGCACTGAATTTTAAAAACCCAAAAGAATCTATGCACAAATCTCCACTGTGCTCCGTCTCCACACAATGTAAAACATGATCCTCCATATTGCAGACGGAGAGGAAGCTTTGTCCCATGACATCTGATTTGGATTGTTTTTGTTTTGATTTTTATAACAGTGCAAGCTAAAGCAGCTACTCATTAGGTTTTTGATCAGTATCTGTGACTATTTATTACATTTTATTTAAAGCTACTGAAGTCTTCATCCTCCCAAAACAAAACATAGGCAGTATATGAATATATTAAAGATAAAATAAAATAACTGTGCCACAATATTTGTTTTTTTTTCACTCTCCATTTTGTGCAACATTATTGAATAAAGCTAGTGCTATGAGACATCCATCATGTGAGGTGATGCATTATTTCCCCGGAGAGTTGCACCAAACAGTGGCATCTGAAAATAGACTCATTAACCGCCCATGTGGGATGGCTATTGTCTTAAAGAATGGGAACTTATTTATAAAACAGTCTTGGGCTTTCATTGTTTCAAATGCACCAGCATCACTGTGGATGCATTGTTCTCTTAAGTGCTGTTTAGGTGCATTTATTACTCTGTTACTCTGGGGGTTTTCTTGAGATTTCTTTCCCTGTGAATCCCTCTCTTCTTCCCATCATCCCATTTATATTGTTGCTCAGAATAGAGAAACATTTTTACTTTTTTTTTCTTCATCATTTGTTCTGTCCTCTTGTTCAGTGGGGTCCTTTGTTTTGACATTGCTGTCTGGCAAATGTGGTGTGAAGTGAATCCATTGCCTCACACTTTAACAATACTCTGATTCATGGTGACTTATAATGGCCATCGCTGTTGCTATAACAGCAGCTTAAGCCGAAATGTATATATAAAAAATAATAGAAATACGTAGTAGAAGCATATGGTTGATGACACATGGGAAGAATGTAAAAAGATGTAGAAATCATGAAATAAGAAAAAATAAATAAATAAAATTTTAAAAATAACATAAAAGCAGGTGTTTATTACTTTTGCACATTAACAAATTAGTATTAGGTTAGAATTTTTTTTTATTACGGAAATTATGAAATCATGGAAATTTAAAAATTCCTATACCACAACAAAGACAGAATTAGATTTCCAAACCCAAATCTCATTTACCCGTACGTACATGTTTTGGGTTTTTTTGCATTACCCTGTATGTATGTGATGCAAAATGTTTTTCCATTTATTTATTTACTGTTTTACTTTTTTTCCCCCTAATTTTGTGACGTCGGATAAAAAAAATTGTGATGCACAGAGGGAGCGAAAGGAGAACTGCGATGTGGAGAGGGAACACTATATGAACATACGTTAAGGCTTCAACAGTGTTAAAAAGCACTTCTTATTATTTCTTTCTTTAACTACTTCAACTTCAATCATTACATACTATACTTACTACTACTATGTACATGCATATATATATATATATATACATATATATACACACTCAAGAATACTGTACATTTGATGTTTTAGTTTTGAGTTACTTGAATATATTTGGTACCAACTGAGATAATATCTGGTCAGAAACAATAAAGACAATAAGTGGAGCATTTGTGCTTGTTACATATAGGTGGATGTGTGTCAATTATCAAATTCATAATTTGTTTTAACATATTTCCTGTCTTGTCTTTTTACCTGACAAAGCAACAACATATTTATCAAACCACGAACTCTGACCCTGAGCAAAGTAGGGTTTTTACTGCCAACCCAAAAACCTGAACCGTAACATTTCAGTTATACTGAACTATTTCCAATGAGAATAAAATAAACCAATAAACATTTTTAAACTACATATTATATGTTGCATGCTTTTCTCCCCTTGTCCTTTCATACTCACATTATTCTTGCACTGAGTGTTGTAGAACTCCTCCTGGTGCCTGTCTTTCAACATTTTCTCCACCACCCCACTGCGCCCCCAAACATCAAACACCGTCTTGCCGTGTTGGTAACCCACCTCCTACATCAACAGGAAAAAGACAACACAACAAGTCAGTAGAGACAAGGCCTCCATCCTCTCAAAACCTGACTGCTGCTGTTTTTGATAAATACACTTTGTGGAGTCATAAAGATTACAGGTTTGAGAAAACAGTTAGCTTCATAACATTCCATTTAGACAAATAGAGATTGAATTGAGTCTCTTTAGTTTTAAAAATCTTCATGAATCGAAATTTTTATTTTTACGCCAATAGTGTCTGCAGCCTTGTGCTGAGGTCCGAGTCAAAGAATGGTTTGAGTCAACTCCGTGTAAAGACGCATTCATGTCATCCATTTGAGTCTCCAGAAAGTCCCCATAGTCAGACTCTACTGCAGGACTTGTTACTCAAGTTTCAATATTCTTGCTGAGATCATTCTTTTGACTCTGATTCCAAAGTGACAGTTATATAGTCTTGAAGTAACCAACATGTGCAGAAGAAGACATGATGTCACATACTGTGTTTACAAAAGTAAATATATACGCTACAAATGTTGCAGCGTGTCTATATGTTTCCAAGATATTGTGCCATCAATGTCAGTCAGTTTGATCGCTTCACCATCAATCAGCTCCACTTGCCCTGCATATGCCACGTCTCCTGACATCACCTCACGGCTGCGGAGCAAGTGAAACTTTGATGCTCTTGTTGTTTCTGCTGATTAACTCAGTCAGTGTTGTCTGCTGCTTTTTTTGCTGCTGTGTCAGAGACATCTGTCTCACTACAATACTTAAATGCGACACAACATTCCAAACTGAGGTCACTTTGAAGGCAATGGATAGTGTCTGACTTTGGTTCATATATGAAAGTGATGTAAGTGATGAAGAAACAATTTGAATCAAGACAGGGACGAGTCTCAGAGGTTTCAGGCCAGAATCCAAGTAATTAGAGAAACAATTCCTGGGTGACTTATGAGTGCTTCAGTCCAAGTCTTATATCCTTGATTTCAGTACTACAGGGTGAACAATAGAAATAATGGCAGCAATTTGTATTCTCTTAGATCAATTCTTTATACAGCAATTCAACGGAAACAAAAAGTCTGGGGAAAGACAAAGAAAGAAAATCAGGACAAAACTAATAAAAACATAACGCAAAGCTTACCGCTATCTCGTCAAACTTTCCAAACTCCAAGGTACGGTATCTGTCGATCGGAGGTCTGATGTACTCGCAGTATTCGCTGTTCTTCACAGACTCCAACTGCCTCACACAGCACACATAGGCCAGCCGTGTCTGGATCTCCGCCATGTTCAGCACCTGACACAGCCAGTGAAGTAACATATTTGATACACAGCAGCACCAAAGACAGCACCATTGTCACTGGTTAAAGTCATTTATTTTAAAAAGAAAACACATCCCTGCACAGTCGGCTATGTTTTTATTTTTAATCAATCCATTACCTTAACTTTCTCAGCGAGAGGATTGAGACGTTTCCATAGCAGCCACCAGCCTGAGAGCGAGTCGCCATAATTAGTGAGGTTGGTTTCATCTCGGCTGCCCACGTCAATAGCTATCACCACCTTGGCCCCCATGGAGCGAGCTACATCAGCTGCGAGGAAAGGAGACACAAAGGCAGAGGGGTTGGGATAGAGAGTGGAAAAAAAGTTTTGTTTAAATTACTGAATGAAAAGTACAGACAGAAAGGCACAAGAAGCGTCACAAACCAGGTAAGTTGTTGATGTAACCCCCATCCATCAGTAGGTGTCCGTCTTTGGGGTCACAGAGAGGAGGCAGGTACCCCGAGAGAGACATGCTGGCACGTACGTATCGCCAAAGAGAGCCTTAAAAAATAAAATGGCAACTGGTTTGAATCGGAGCCTTTTCATTTTTACTTGGTGTAAACAGCTAGCCTTAGGCCTTGTTTTATGGAGAGTTTGGGCCGATCCCACTCCAGGTCACAACCTGAACCCCAGGGTTCACCTCCTGGGCAAGTTCAAATCCCGGTTAGTGGGGTTGGTACGGTGCAGTGTGATTTGGGTGGCGGTCATGGAGACTGCTGCCCCCGTGACCCAGTAACAGATAAGCGGATGAAAATGGATGGCTGGTTAAAGAGTCTAAATTATTCCAATTTAAAAATCACAAGTTCTGAAAATACACGTTTTATATATATATATATATTTCCCAAGTCAGTCTAAACTCTTCTTCAGTGGTGTTTCCATCAGAGATTTTCTTTTTTGCAGAATTCTGCAGAAGGACTTTGACTCCAGGTCACAACTTGTTTATTTGTCTGGACTTTTTGTCTTGTTTGTTTTGTTTGTGCTTGTTACCCACGCCGAATGCAATGGGTTAACATGTTGGCCCGGGGACCCTCTGGTCCTCGGAGTCTCTGTGTTTTCTCCCCTCCTAGACCCCATGGATGCTGTTCTGGATCCAGGACCCCCTCCGTACTCCTGCCTCATCTGTATTATCTGTACTGAAAACTAGAACTGAAAAAAATGTTGTAGATTGTTTTGTTACTGCACGCCTGCCCGTCCTGGGTGAGGATCCCCTCCTCTGTCTGTCACCCTGAGGTTTCTTCCTTTTTTTTTACCCTATTAAGGGGTTTTTTTTTGTTCCTCGGCCGATGCGAGGCTCCATTAGGGCAGGGGACGATTACCACTGTTACCACTTCTTTCTTTCTTTCTTTCTGTTTCTTGCTCTCTTGATATTTTAATGGTTTATGGTGTATGCAATGTGCTCTATAAATAAAATTGAATTGAATTGAATTCAAGTTTGTTTGCCATAATTTCAAAATTGATTATTTTAAGAGCCTTGAAAAAACAGATCAGGTAAACTGCTTACACAGCTCAACATCTGACATGATGACATGATGATACAATTTGTCAAAAAATGTATGATTTTCCTTTGTCAAATAATTTAAATGTGTTAATCATAAGTCATTTACACGACTTTTAACTTCTTTAAATGTTTCTTCAAACCTGACTATTTTGACCCAATCATTATACACACTGCAGTTAGCAAAACTTACAGAGGAATATTATAAAACAGTAAAAGATTAAACCTACCATCAGTGTGCACTCTCATGGTGGAGGCACTGATGTCAGTCGTGATGTTGAAATATGGGATCCAAAGATCCTGCAAAGATGAGGTGTTAGATTCAAATTAATGATGATAAAAAATATATTATTTGCTTTTTTCTGCACTATAACTTGCATCTTTAATGATCCACTTAATCTGGATGAGTTAAATAACTAAGTTCTGATTGGTTTGTTCTGCACTCACTCACCTCAATCTGTTTACCCTTGAAGACATTGCTGATGCTAGAGTTGAAGGCAGCCCCTGAGAACATGGATGTGACCGGATAGGTCAAATCCAGAACTTTTTTAAACACTGATGTCATTTCCTGAAAAAAAAAAAAAAGTAAAAATCCTCCCTTGAAAACGAGTTGTTTTATGGTCAAATAAGTCTTGAAGTTTCACTTTTGAATTAAATTCCACCTCCTGTATTCTTCCCTATGATATTGCAGCAGTGAAACAACGGCTGTACACTTCATTTGCATTTCAAAGGCATATTTTTTATACGATATGGTTTCCTGGTTACGATCCTGGGTTTATCAATCCTAGTTCTACCACCTGAGCCATATTGAACCAAGCTGCTCTAGACATATTACTTTACTGTTATTTTCAGGGTACAATATCAAAATAGCGACATGTGACTGCATCTTTTTGCAGCACCCAAAGCTCTAGCCTTGTTACACACAGATGGCCAGCTCATATGTTTGACTTTGTGATGTACTGTATATTTCCCTCAGAGATATTATCTTTCAAAACTACCTGTCAGAAATCCACTAGTGTGATGGCACAGCTCGCTGTTTCTCTGTGGTTAAAGAGTCAGCTTTAGATGTAAGCACACACTAAAAGCATTTGAGCTTTTAGCTTCGACAGCCTCTTCAGATCATTTAAATAAAGGGCCTTTATTTTATTGCAACTATAGCCCTTCTGATATGATACGAAAGGAGCAGCCGCTCAGACAGCTCTGTCTACAGGGAGGACTCAGAAGCAAGGACGGAGACAGAGGAGGGGGGCTGAGAACACTGTAGGAGGACAGATTGTTCCACTCGCTCTGCCTGCAGACCTGGAGACGGAGCAGGTGTCTCAGATTAGCCGTCAAACCTTAGTTGTCAAACTCTGGATAAGTCACTGCAAATGTCTTCTATGTGAAAACTATTCATTAGAGTCTCACAAGTGTCCAGAATAAAACACAGTTAAATTTACTAGAAAATAATATAATATTCAATAATATTCATACCTGCATATAAATTATTTTAAAATGTTACTGAACTTTATTAAAAACAAAATAATTCCTAGAAAACTGCAATTCTTATTCGTCAATATGAATAAAATTACTAGAATTATTAAAGTCAGTACAACTTTCCCACTGTGGCACAAATATAAAAAGAAATTCAGAAATTTAAATTTATTGCCCTGCTGTGGACTCCACACAATGGCACAAAAATCAAAACTAGAAAAAAATCTTGTAAATAGTGTGTCTTAGCTCCACTGACAGCTGCATGGTCTTATGCAACATCTGAGGTAAAGGACTCCAAGTACCCATCACCCATTCTTTAACAATTCTGTCAAATACAGTAAAATAGTTCTGACTATAACTCTGACTTAATGGACTGAAACTTAACAAGCCATAATACATGAAAGACATAAGCTGCTCTGCCCTTCTTACCATGGCCCATTCTCTTGCTCTGATCCTCATTCGACTGTGGCTGCGATCTTCGGCATATAGCGCCCCCATCAGTGAACCAATTGAAGTGCCGCCAACAAGATCCACTGGGATGCCAGCCTCGCAGAGAGCTCGCATAATCCCCACCTGGGAACAACCCCTGAGACAAAGACAAGCTGGCTTTAACAGAGATTAACATTCATTTTTATTTAACATGTATTACTTAAGCAGGACAAAGAGTGGGTCACCTGGCCCCTCCTCCTCCCAGAATAATAGCAATGGCATTCCCTGTGAGGACTCGAGCCAGACGTGAGAAATCAGAGTGACGGTCAGCTGGCTTCTCAAACACTCGTTTGTACAACTCCAACTGAAGAAAAAAGAAAATTATTACAACTGCAAACTTAAAAAACACAGAAGTCTGACAACAGTACAACCAAAAAAAGAGCACAAAACTAGAGAATGAAAACAACACTTTGTCCATACCAGTTTGGGCAGGCTCCTCTTGGAGAACACTCTCCGGGGACAGGAGAGATGGAGGTGTCTGGAGATCCAACTTCTCATGTTCAACCAGTCCACCGTTCCTTTAGGTGGAGGGCCATCTTCTTTGTGTAACAACACCAGCTGCTTCTGGGCTCGCACTGCACTGCTTTCCAACATACGCTCCAGCTACGGAAAGTATGCAGAAAATGGATTTTTTTTCTTTAGAATTTAAGCTACTGCTCAGCTTTCTATGTTGTAGATTTTTTTTTCTACTTCTGTTTAAGGCCTTCTCGGTGGACAACGTGTCTAATCTGCTTGCCAGATTGCAGGGTTGCTGGTTTGATCCCCATCCTTCCTGTGTTTGTTTTCTGTTTGTACTCTAATTTCCTCCCACAATTCAAAAACATGCAGGATTAGGTTAAATTGTTATTCTCAACCAAACACAGGTGTGAATTAAAGTGTGAATGGTTGTTTATCTATTTACGTGGCCTGTGATTGCCTGGAAAATTGTACCTTAATTTCATTGTACAATGCTCCCATTTTACAATGTCGAATAATTCTGATTCAAATGATTAATGATTAAATATGAAAGGGGCCTGGCTCTCCACCATAGAGTCATTATATCCCACATTAAACTTTAAATATCATTTTAATGTATTTGTTTTTACTTTTCTATCTGCAAATGTATCATTTTCTCCTAAATGAATAATAACCGTATAAAAATGAGGCTATAGAACCTCAGACATGGTTAGATTTCACCCCAGCTGTAACCCTGAAAGTCAGAAGGTGTGAATATAATAGAAAGAGAATCAAAACAGAACAATGATTCACTCAGTCTGCTCTGATATTGATCCATCTCCCCACCCACTCCGACCCTCCACCCACCATTATACAGAGATAGATTCCTTTCTCTTTTCTAAGCCCATTTTTCCCCATGAGGTCAAATCTCTGTCCCTCATTGTCTCCCTTATAGAGTTTACCCATCTTTTACTCACAACCGGAGGGTTACGGGTTCAATTCAAGACTTGGTGGGTTATACGCCATCCCTGGGTCGATGGCAAAACTTATATGTAAGGCGTGTGTAAGATCACTTACAGCATGGTCATCTGAACAGTTGCTCCAAAGCTAAAAAAGTCTGTACAGTCCTGAATTAAACCAATCAAACCTGGCAATCATGGGTGAAATCTAGATCACAGTCCACCAATATTTAAAGACAATAATTTTTGTGGCTTCACCTCCCCCACAACAGGGTCCTGTTCCCCCAGTCCCACAATGATGATGCAGTCGGCCTGACGTATGCAGCGCTGGGTCCATGGGGTGAGTGTGGAGTCTGTCTGATAAAGGACTATACGATGAATGTCCTCCTGTTGACCCAGCCAGCTGGACAGACGATACTCGTGGACACTAGGGAAAGGATATGTTTATTAGTGGCAGACAATAAACTGATCAGTCAGTACAGTGTGTGTTGACACTGAATGAACAACTAAAAAAAACAGTTCAAAGAGACTAAAGAAACCACACTAGATAGTTAAAACAGACAGGTATAAAATAATAAGCTTGCAATGTTTGTCCACCATTTTTATAAACACACCTGTCTAGAGCTGCAGCTCCAAGTCGTTGTTTGATGATGTCACTGGTCAGCAGCAGAGTTGGGCCTGTGGAATGGCCACAACAGGAAAAAAAGGCAGGTTGAGAGCTTATTTTATTTGGAAAGCAAGAAAATACAAGATCACCAAATAAATTGAATATCTACACTTTTATTGATGCTACCTATGGCGAGAAGAGCATGCTGCAGCTCCAGGGTGAAGGCAGTGAGTGGTACTTCCTCGGATACTGGTAAGACAGTCACAGTTGAAAGGTTTGATGCCTGGTTCCCGGCATCCCATTTACTGCCTGGGGTGTGGAGGGCCAGGCTGCGAGCTGCAGGGTGGTACAAATAAGTACAACTCCTGGTCAAAGTGTGCACATACACAGCCTACGCTAGTCAGATGTTTTCGAAAAACACCACTGATACACCACTGACCGGTACCACTGATGTAGACAGTACTTGGGTTGTTGTGAAAAATTGTTTTTTCCTGTAATGCTAGTCAGATAAGAACATGTTTGTAAAAAAAAAACACAAAATTGTGAAGAATTGTTGCCTTCACAATTACTGCAGCATTTGAAGCCTAATGTATCACCTCAATGCTATGATAAATCACAAATATGTCATTTCAAAGCCCATTCTAACAACCACACTTCTGCTGTTTTTAAATGTATATATACATATATATATTTTTCAAATGTCAAATTACACAAACCTGTCAGGGGACCATTGACCTGTTGAAGGATCTTCTGTCCTAAAAGGTGGATCAACCTGGTTACAACCTGAAATGCATCAGGATTTTAGAGTCATCATTATGCAGTACGCTCATTTGAATGCAATACTGTGTTTAGAATGAAATGTGTGTATATACAAAATATAAAATAAATAAAAATATAAACCTGCCTGTGGAAATTTTCTCTTAATGGAGCTGAGAGCTCCCTCTGGAAGCTTAGCCAACTCGGAGTCTCGTACGGCATGAACTGTAGTGGCCCGATTCTGACGGGTCAGGGCTTCAACCTGCCAAACACAAGGACACACAGCATGTTTACTTCAGGATAATTAAAACAAAGGTCAGACCCTCAGAGCCAAAAGTGTTCTCCGCCATTCTTTCTGCGGCTCGCAACCTACTAAACAACAACAATGATTTCAGATAAAGTTAAAATAGATAATACATAGAATAATGCATTCATTAAGAGATAAAAGTCAGTTCTGAGTTTGTGGCTGGTGAAACAGTTTTTCAGAAAGTTTAAGTGTGACTTCAAGTGGGAAAAAGGGAAGAGAGCGGTTATAAATAAGATCTCTCCATCTCATCATTCACACTTGACGTCAACAAAGAGCTAAATATGTCTCTGCATGTTAACCACCTCCTTTTATATTTATGCCCACCACCAGAGAAGCTGCAGCAGCAAGTTCACTTCCCCAGGTAACAGTAACCATAGCATCCATCAATCGCAGAGTTTTATTAGGAACATCACAGCAGAGACCATGCACGTCAGCCAATGAGAGAATGGAAAAACACAGATTCTAATTGAGTGTCTGTTTTTCATACTTTAACCCATTGATGACTGTACAGCAATCCAGTAGAGTGCTTTCATTTTAGGCTCCTTTGGTTTGAATTAGGAGTGTCAGAGTTTTGAAGCTAATTTAATTTGTTTCTAATTAATTACGATGTAGTTTGTGTCATGACAATTATTCATGATAATTAATCATGATTAATCATAATTTCAGATATTTAAATATGACAACAAAATCTGCATATTGCTGTAACAGTTACAGTAGGTAGATGTTGGCGTTTCACACCTGTATTTATTCAACTGATCCAAATGTTGGAATTATAATGTTTGGAAAGAAAAAAAATGTAAAAGCATCATTCAAAATGGTAGCTTCATAGAGTTGGTGGATTTTAGTCATTACTGTGCAATACTTGAATAACAATAGGTGGAATTATTAGATATGCAGTGTGTGTCATACTGCCCATCGAGTAAAATGCTGTCAAATAGGAGTGTTACATAGACCAGACTGGAAATAACATCTTTAGCCGGGTGACGAATGCAGGGCGGAATTTGACTCACTAATCACTTAATCTAGTTTTTATTGAAAATAACTAAAGTGTTTCAAGGAGGAGTAAAATAGAAAATTAGACCAGACATGAGATCTTTTGGGAGTGACGAGTCTAATGTGGAAACGTCAGTCCTGACGACACCAAGGGAAAAAAAACAAAACAATAGTTACCATTGGAACCTTGAACAGACGCATGACAAACCTGTAATTTGGCCCAGCCCAACACTTCCTACCTCAACAAACTGTAATTATATTAGCAAATATTATTTATATACTGTACATATCATTGTGAACTAACCCGGAAAAATGTCTCCTCCTAAGCACACTTTCAGAAAAGAAAGTTTTGTATATAATTTTATATTACAGAAATATTTAAATGTTTCCAGCTTCAGTGAATCCACAGACAGTTCAATCAAGGCTAAACCAACAGACTTCTGTAGTTACTTAGTTCATGGTGATATGGTTTACAGATATCTTTCACAGTAAACAACCTGGGGTGAGGCTTTTTAGGTAAAAGCACAAGATCTGAATGAACTCTGATCAAAGTCTACATTAATCGGCCTTGATTTCTTGAGTGAGGGTTGGGTAGAGGTTATACCTCCCCTCTTGTCCATTAATATGCACGCAAAGTACATATGGATGACACCGATTAGGAAATTGATTCCCCTCACTCAACTGCAGTAAGATGTGTTTAATTCACTGCCAGTGGTGACAGTCTTAACAGCCAGGCTTTGGAAGAGCAACTTGGCAGCAGCTGCTTTGTCAACAGACAGTGAATGGGTTTTGAATGTAAAGATTAACTACTGTTAATTTAAAACCCTAACATTATGTGCATTCAAATCAAGTCAAACAGACAGATCTCCCATAAAAAGATAAATAAATAAATTTAGAAAAACAGGCCCTGCTTGTGCTGATATACAGTCATTAATATTTATGAAGATACTCAGAGTTAGGACAAAAACACAGCACTATTTCCCCATTTCCCTTTCCCTCGTGGTCGTTTTCCTCACCACACCAATCAGGTCGCCACGTCCATACTCGCCAATCAGCTCCTTTTTGCCGTCTTCTTTCAAGATGACGGAACGAAGTCGACCACTCAGTACGATGAAAGTGCTGTCGGATTTCTCTCCTTGCCTGAAAAATATTGATAAAACAAACTCTTTTTGAATCACATGCACATCACACTTGTGACCCAAAGCCAAGTCGGGGCTTTTTTAAGTTAATTTCACTCTTTGACTCTGATTTGTGATATGAAAACAACTGTGACTGCTCCCAAATGGACACAGTGCTGTTTTGTTTTGAAAGTGGTGGGGGAGGAGGAGGAAGGGGGGGTTGTTCCAAAGCCATCAGCCAAATACCTGTAGACAGCCCTGCCAGCTTCTACAGCCATCCAGTCCAGAGCAAAGTCAATTTGTCTGACAAAAGATGACATTCTCCTCACCACAGTGTGAGCAACATTCAGCACCACTTTTGGTTCCACACGCATGATTCTGTAGATGAGACAGAGGTTAAAGGGACCATCAGGCATTTATCAAATGCATACATCAATTTTGTTTTAGATTAGCATGCACAGAAAAAATGTCCAGGTTACTGACTCATAGAAGTGGGTTTTGGAAATAGAGAGGAAGCTGCAGTCTCTCTGAGCTCTGACGGTGAATATGAGAGGTTCTCCAGTCAGAACAGCCAACTGACCCACCAGTTCTCCAGGGTAAGTCACAAAAAGACGTGTCTCCTCTTCACGGTCAATCATCTTTTGGTACACGTGGAGTAGGCCAGATATTACAAACTGAATGTTCACCTCCTATGATATCGGGAAAATAAGACATTTGAATAAGTTAACCGTTCTTTTTGGCCGTTACCAATTTCCTTTAAGCTACTGTATGTTTGATAAATCCTGGGCTAATCCTTTCTTACTTATGTTTGTTATTTTATTTATCATTTTGGTATTTTTTGTGTTTCTGGGGTTTTCACTTTTGGCAGTGAAATTCCTTTTTGAGCCACAGCTGTTTTTGTTACTTTCTTAACCACACTTTTACCTGTATCCATTATAGCTTTTTCTACCAATGTCTTGTAGATTCCATCATTCAAAAGGTTTTACCTAACTATCATTTATTTTTGAATACTTTGCTTTTTGCATCTAATGCCAAGGTACTGAAATTTGTTTAATTCCACCTTAAAAAATAAGTAAAATAAAAGGAAAACTTTAGGACTGACACTCTGTCCTTCAAGAGAGTAAAGGTATTCAAAGTGGGGTTTTTTTTATTTCATGTTTTTGACCTGGTCTCCCTGTCGGGCCACTACAGAACCAGCTTTGACTTGATGCAGAGTCACTCTGCCCTCCAGGAGAGTGGGATCCTACAAAAGAGATATTGTTGTCAATTTCAAAAAAATACTTTCCTACACAAGTGCAGTAACAAAGAGGATCATTTAAAATATATTTTCCCATAAAACACAAATACAGGCCAAGTTTTCCTGGCAGAGATGTGCAGTCACAATTTCCCATATATATTAGTCACAATGCATAATAATACACAGTAGACATTAATGTGGCTTTTGCTTCAACAATGATGAGACTCTGACATACAGTATTTATAGCAGCTGATGTTCATTTTTGTAAGTGTTCATCCTCCCACCTGAAGCTGAATGATTCCCAGCAGGTCCCTCTTTGCAGCCTGGAGTATTGTGCTGCTTTTACTGAGGTGAACAGCATCAGAGTGCCCCCCGCTGTCCGTGTAGTGAAACACCTCTGAGGGGGTGTGCTGCATGGTCACAGTCTTTTTCAAATTAGACTACAGATGCAGACACAGAAGTAATGGTGGGTTATGGAAACATGAGATTCCTGCAGAAGGAAACATTGCAGAGACTGACCCTCATGTCTGACCTTCTGCGTGACAGGGCTGGGCGGCATGTCGTCTATGGCGACTCGAGCCCGTTCGCAGGCCATGTTCAGGTCATTACCTGTAAGACAGAGGATCATAAATCAACGTGTCTGAGTAAGACAGTCAGTCTCTGTCCTTGTTTTAACATCAGTGACTGTGATAAATCACTGCGGAAAATTAATAAAGTTCTAGAGATTTTTACTGATCGAATCTGTCCCAAAAGAATGACCTACCTGTGCTTTCTGTAGGCATGGAGATGGAGCGCATCTTCCTGTAGCTGCTTGAAGGGCTGTCTTTGGCAGGGTCTGTTTAATTTAAAGTCAAGTTCCATAAATTAATCATTTTTTTCCCAGCAGATGAGACGGCAGTTTTAAATTAAACTATGATTGTACTTGACTGTGTGACCTGTCTCTGCAGAGCTCTCAGCTGTCCCGGCTGGTAATTCGTCCTGAAAGTGAAGACGGCGAGTTGTCTTCACTGAATTTGCCTCTCCCAAAACATTGCTTATATTAGTTAAGGGCACTGCCTGGCTGTCCTGTCAAATATATTTAAAGGAGGCTCAATCATTGTTCATCATTAGTTCATTGTCAAGTGTTACAACTGAATCTTAAGTCTCTGCAAAACTACAGATCACGTCACAAACCGTAGAATCATTACAAAGGGCAATTTTTTAGTTGAACCAGTCCAGTTAAAACAGTTAGAGCAGTGACTCTATTTTGACATCACAAATTCAACCCCAGAGACATTTTCTCACACAGTCACATGATCACAGCTGATATTTTTATGCTGCATTTTATTTGAAATTGATTTATTTAGATATATTTATTCATGAAAGTGGAGAATATAAATTTTGTGTATGATGTTTTTAATTTAAAAGTTTTAAAAAGAAGTTATTTTTGACGACTCCATTTGAATTCCAGGTGAACCCAATTGGGGTTCATGGAAGCATGAAATTAATGATAAATATGAGCGTGGTGCCCGCTAAAGAAAGAATACAAATCGAAAAAGGAGGAGACCCAGAGGAAGACCCAGGACACGTAGTCGCTCCAGTGTGTCATGGGTCTTCCTCTGGGTCTCCTCCTTTTTCACCCCGGGATCCCCCCAGAAGAGCTAGAGGAAGTGTCTAGGGAGAGGGAAGTCTGCGCGTCCCTGCTCCGACTGTTACCCCTGCTACCCGGCTCCGGATAAGCGAAGGATGATGGATGGACAAATCAAAAAAAGCCAAAAAATAAAGAATAGAAAAGTTAAAAGAAAAAATACGTAAGTTAATTCTACGTATAAAGTACATAGAGACCGTGTAAGGTACGCTATGGAATCAAGTGTCTACGTGCAGGCCAACTCTCTTCCCTCCCTTCATCCCTCCTTCTCCCTCCTCCGCGCATTCTGCTGTTAGCCGCTACTGTATCGTCTGTCTCGAAGGTAAGAACTCATAATTAAAACCACATTTTATTTTATATCACAGGAATCCTTATATACTATAACTTTTTGTGTATGTCTCTATAGCAATTAAAAATATTTCCCCATTTTTTCTGTTATTTCTTATGGGAAAACATTCAAGATATGAGCACCTCAAGTTACGAGCTCGATCCTGGAATGGATTATGCTCCTATCCCAAGGTGTTCCACTGTATTATGCTCTTGTGCACTGAAGCAATTCTAACAGCAACTAATTTAATGATATTTAATATCATTAAATATTAAATATAATTATTTAATAATGCTATTATTTAATATCATTAAATAATATCATTATTTTTCAGTAATGATATTATTTAATGATAATCCGTTGCATCAGTAGCATATATAAATTGCTACGGAGTATAAATTGCACCGGCCAGCCACAGTGCCCTCTAGTGGCTGTCAATGGAACATAAATAGCAGATATTTATACACAAGCTTAGAGTGCCCTCTAGCAGCTGTCAGTTTGAAAATAACACCCGTAAATTTTTAACTGCAAGAAAATTGCAGTTCATTCATTCTTTCCAAGGGGAAAGAATGGAGGAGGGATAGGAAAGACTGGAACCACTGTACTCTTTACATGAACAGTTAATTATAATAATAATACACAGTATTTGAGAAAACTACTTATTTAGATCACAGTGCAGATAATTACATGAATACCAAAAAAAGGAAACAATATTTTACTAAGCACTTGATATAACAGACAAGAGTGAGGACATTTTTTTTGTGAATTATAGGGTGAGAAATGAGGCTTCTGGTCCTCTGTTTCCCATGGAGAAACTATAATCATTTTTATTAATTTTCACAGAGAGTAATGATGGCCTGAGTTATGATGCTGTGCTTAATGTTGTGTGAAATTAGCTTGCAAGAGTGTGGCCCAGTGTGTATGTGTACGTGTTGAGTCTGTCTGTGTGCATTTGCGTGCAGATTCATAACCAACACTGTTTAAATATTCAATACCAAAGTCAGTGTGGTACAACCCATGTGACTGTGTGTGTGTTTGTATTTATAAATGTATATCTGTACACAAATGACAGTGCACACTCATATGTATTCCTCCTACCGGATTAAAGAGCTCTGTGGTGAGGCCCAGATAGTTATGCAATGCCAAGAAGGTGACTCTTTGCAGACGCACCATGATGATCTGAAACACACAGGTCAACAGAGCAGAAAAAGACAAATCAAACACACACACACTTCCTACATCCACACAGGGAATGATGCTGTTTTAGTAAATGATGTGTGTCAGCAAAATAAACATTTCTCTCAATCACTTGTAGAGCACATATTGTGAAAAATTGATTTTTTTTCAGGATTTTGTTCACATATTTATGACTATTGAACAGGGATGTCAAACTCAAGAGGCCAAAAATGTCAGAAAGTCTATGCTGGGGGCCAAACAGGATTAAAAATTATTCAAGTCTAGTGCTGATATTGCTCTCACCAGAAAATTTTAATTTGAACAGACGGCAAAAACTTCCTAAATAAAAGATAAATTCCAAAATTGCCACGGATATATTATGCATATATATATATATATATATATTATGCATATATATTATGCATATATATATATATATATATATATATATGCATAATATATATGCATAATATATATATATATATATATATGCATAATATATATGCATAATATATATATATATATATATATATATATGCATAATATATATGCATAATATATATATATATATATATATGCATAATATATATGCATAATATATATATATATATATATATGCATAATATATATGCATAATATATATATATATATATATATGCATAATATATATGCATAATATATATATATATATATATATGCATAATATATATGCATAATATATATATATATATATATATATATATGCATAATATATATGCATAATATATATATATATATATATATGCATAATATATATGCATAATATATATATATATATATATATGCATAATATATATGCATAATATATATATATATATATATATGCATAATATATATGCATAATATATATATATATATATATATATATATTATGCATATATATTATGCATATATATATATATATATATATATATATACTGTATATATATGCGAATTTGACAATTGCATTTAACCAATTCAGTAAACATTAGTATGTGCTTTCATAAAATAGAAGTTTATATAAATCAACCAAATGCAAGTTAAGCTTTGCTGGGCCATATTTTAAACGATGGAACGGACCAAATACATCCCACGGGCCTTGAGTTTGACCTAAGTTCTTTCTAGATAGTTTTTCTCCACCCTTAAGTTCCTATTGAACAACTAGGTAGATGTTTTATGATCTGAAAAAATCTGGAAAAATCTCGCAGAACTACTGTTCTAAATTCACCTGCTTTATCACACCATAAAGCTAGCAGTTATAAAAATAAATCATACCGTACCTAAATGTGAAAGGATATGCTGTTGTGCTATCATTTAAAACCCGAAAGCATAGCTGCTCGTTTATCACAGCACAAAATGAACACCAGCTATACACACGTATAGCTGGTGTAAAAACTCATTACCACTTTGGTTAGTCTACGAATTAATATCAAGGTAATGTTGACATAACAACCTTAACTAATCATCAGAAACATCCAGGTTCGTTTTTGACTCTCCGCCTTCTCCTGAAGATATTTCTTGTTCTGGCGCTGACTCTTGTCAAACATACCACATAGACCACAGTCTGTTGTCTAGTGACCTGCCTGTTTACTATACCTACCAGGATGGCATACACTATCTCACTTAGCTCCAGAGAAAGAACACTCAATTGCCCAAGAGCCTGTCAGAATCTGCCCATTCACCAGCAGCCATAATTTGCTCACTGCTTAACCATTGCCATAGTTACAGTAAACGTTCCTCAGGACTTCCCCTCACTGAGTAGGTGGGCCAAACATGCAGTGCCTCATTACAAGTTAAAGGTAAGTGTGTGTGTCCAACTGTGAACAATCCTTCTGTTTTTGGTTGATCAAAACAAAATTGCAAAAATTTTGACTTTTTTTTAAAGTAACATAATACTGTATACTGTATGTCTCCTTTAATGGTAACTGTTTGTAAGGAAATCATAGTCCTACCTGAATAACCCTCACAAGTGTCTCTGGGTATTTTTTAAACACAGACTCAAACGCAGATGCAGGCAACCGTAATATGGTGGAGCGGGTTGCAGCCCGTGCAGAAACGGTCTTATATGGAGCTGGATAACCCTGGAAGAGACAAAACAAATAATTTAATTAAAAGAAATACAAAAGCGAGAGCACTCATTTATCTTCATCAATAATCTAAGGACAAAAGCAGTATTATGGCATTGATTTCCCCCTGTATGTGACACCACTTTGAGTACCTGAAGCATTTCAAACAAGTGGCAGGAGTCATTTTATACCCATAAGTATTCCACAATCGAGTAAAGTACCCAAAATAGTTTCGAATCACGTTGTAAATGCTTATCGATACTTTTTGTCCCAGCAGGTCTCTCGTTGCTGTGGTTTTTAGGATGAAGTAAAAATATCTTATTTGGGTTTTCTGAAAAGGTGAAATATGTGCAGGTGACCATCAGAAATAATAATAATAATAATAATGGAAATAAAGTGGATGCTGCATTAAGGAAAAATATGGGCATATGATTAAAAAAGAGGTGATTAATTGGAAATAGGACTAAGAGTGAGAAAGAACAGAAGCTGCAGTTAGTATAATACGATGAGAAGAAGAAAAAAAAAGAAAACAAGACTCACAGTAATGATGTCCAAGATACTAAGCAGACTGTGGACACTGTCTCCAGGAAGAACATCCTTTACAACTGGTTCTGTACCATCCTGGAAAAACAAAATCAATTGACAAAATACATAATACCTTGCAAAAATGTAAAAACCATAACACAGTGATTTCCAACTGCTGTACCATAGCACACTAGTGTGCTGTAAGAGGTCGTCAGATGTATTGTGACATTTTACTTAATTAGACTAAAAACAAAATTGATTTACGGCAAATCATTTGTCCTCGTTTATGCAACAGTGACAGGCAGAACAATTCTATACTATAGACTACCTAAACTATGTGAAAGCAGACAGCTATAAAAATCTTTTTTCAATTCCTGTGAGTATATCAATGTTGTGTTCAACTAAACATGCATAGGTTTAACAATAAGTACGGTAAGTAAATAATTAGGATTACCACTC